AGGGAAGTTTACGGGAAACTCTTCACATTCAGCAGAGAATCTGGTATCTATGAAATCTGAATTTGTTGGTGGTGCGTTCGTTGGAACTTCTGGTTTGTTGTTCAACTGCGGGATGGAGTGGATTGCAGATTCAGGTGCGTCTGCACATATGACTATGCAAAAAGACTGTATTGTTGATTATACATCTTTTCGTGAACCAAAATCAGTTCAAATTGGAAACGGGGAGGTCATATATGCTTACGGTTGTGGACGTGTGAATGTTGAAATGAGGGTAAATGGTGTTTGGGAACGAAATTATTTAAAAGACGTTTGGTATGTTCCATGACATTGGTAAAAACTTATTCTCAATTGGGGAAACTGTGAAAAAGGGTTTCGAGTTTAAGGTAAATGGAAATATATGTGAACTTTCGAAAGGCAATGTGGTGCGTCTAATTGGTAAAAGAGCTATAAACCGGTTGTATGAAATAGAAATGCGAGTGTGTAAACCGGAAGGTGATGCTGACGTGTTAATTGCTTCAAAGACAGACACCCTTCAGGTGTGGCATGAAAGATTATGTCACCAAAGTAAACACCATGTTAAGAATTTTTTAGAATTTCTGTGGAAATGGATCAGGAATTCTGTGAAGCTTGTGTCGTTGATAAACAACACCGGAAGAGATTTGGTACTAGAACACTGAGAGCTACAGTTCCGGGAGAGAGAATACATGCTGACGTCTGTGGTCCCATGCAAGTACAGTCCATTGGTGGTGCCAGATATTTTGTATGTTTCAAGGACGATTTTACAAAGTTCAGGCGGGTATTCTCCATGCAAGCTAAATCGGAAGTTTTCGAGTGTCTCGAGACATTTGTAAATGAGGCAAGCACAGCGGGACATCGGATAAAACAGCTGTTATGCGACGGTGGTAAGGAATTTGATAATATCAAATTAGAGTCTTTTTGAGGTTAAAAGGAATCAATCATCGTGTTGCGATGCCCTATACACCACAACAGAACGGCGCGGCGGAACGTGAGAATCGCACCTCAGTTGAGAGCGCAAGGACCATGATACATTAAAAGGGTTGCCAATTATGCTGTGGGCGGAAGCTGTCAACACAGCATGTTACATATTACTATTATTATTACAACAATCTCTGAAAGAAATAAGTACAGGGAATGTGTATGCAGAAAAGAAAAGGAGATCACGACCTCTAGTGGCGAACCAAAGAACTAAGGAAATATCAAATCTACTATTGAAATAACTGACATCTAAACTAAACGGGTTTACAAAGGAAATACCTAGACAGAGGGGTAAAAAAATTATTGAGTATATCGGTTATGAAGAGTCGCTGGAAAATATTTTCAAGTTCTAAAAATGTCCACCAGAGGGCGTAACTGCCATCTTAAATTTTTAAATTGCATTTTCTTTAAATTTCGTACAATAAACTAAACATTTTTTTTTCACATTTTTAAGGAGAACCAGTTTATCTTTCATTTTCGTTAAAACAAAAACTCAGATATTTCAAAAACAAAGATGGTGTGGCACGTTTAATTGTTTTTGCAATAACCTGCTTTAACTTCTTAACCGTTTGACCGATTGTAACAAATTTCGTATCGTTGAAAAGAGCATTCCTTGGGCAACGAGAATCAACCAAAATATAGCTAATTTAGTTGAAACCTTCTCCGCCAGGGGGCTAATTTTGACACTATGCTCCAAAATCCTAAAAAAATCAAATGGAATGATATGATCTTATCTTTATGAAAAAGTAGCCAAATAACACCCAAAGAGGCCAGTGAAAACCGTTTTTCAAAATCTCGTTCCTAACCTCAAATATTTGGAAAAAGACATAATAATAATAATAATAAGCCATTTATTGGACATACTTCCACCTCAATAATATATAATTACAAAACAAGAAAACAATTTTAAAAAAAAGAAGAAAAGGAGTCTCCAAAGGGACGAAGTTCAGTCTTGCCAAAATTAGGCGACTGTTCTACCACTTAATCCCAAGATGAGAGTAAATTACTGTCTGCTAATTAGGAAATGGCGTACATGTAGCTTAAAATGATCAGAGGCTGAGGTTTTAAACGAATCAGGTAACTGATTATAATACTTCGCAATATTATATGAAAAAGATCGCTTGTATAGCTGCGATTTATGGTTAGGTATAATGAGTACACTTTTATTTCTTAAACAGAAATCATGAAGTTGTGATGAGAACTGTATTTTATTATAGAGATACGAGGGAGTTTTGGTAGTAATTATCTGGTGATATAAACATGCTGCATGTAGCCTTCTTCTGTTATACATGTTCAACCAATTCGTTTCCAACATTACGAATGCCAAAAATTAACCGTAAGCAAGAATTTTGTATTTTTTGAATCCTTTTTTCGGTAGCACTATCAAGACAGGGCCCATACACAGCATCACAGAAATTAAATTGGGACAAAACTAGCGATTCACAAAGAAGCATTTTAGTTTTACTGTTTAAAAAGTTTCTTTGGTTATAAATTAGTTTAAGATTACAAATAGCTTTCTTTATGCACAAGGAAATGTGATCTGAAAATCTTAACTTAGAGTCGATCATCAATCCAAGATTTTTAGCGACATCCGAAATCTGAATATTGACACCTTTAACAACAATTGCATTTGAAATACGGCTAGCTACTCTTTGTTTAATTTTGTCTTTCCCAAAAAGCAAGACTGTAGTTTTGTTAGGATTGATGTTTAACCCGTGCGATTTGGAAAATTCAACTAAACACTCCACATCTTTATTAATAGCATAGATTGCAGTGCCAATATCATTTTCGTGAAATGTGTGATGCAGTTGGGTGTCATCCGCGTATAAATTATATCTGCATTGTCGTAAACAACTACCGAAATTACATGTATATATAGTATACAACAAGGGACCAAGAATTGATCCTTGGGGTAATGGGAAGAAACATGGATGTAGCATTATTTAAAATAACTCTTTGCTGACGACAATGTAGGTAATTACCAATAAGTGCGATGGCCGCAGTATCCAATCCAACAAAATGCAAAATTGCTACAAGAGTGCGATGACTGATGGTGTCGAATGCTTTGGAGTAGTCTAACATTACTAGAGCGGTTAACATACCCTTATCAGTGGCAGCCAGGATATCGTCAGTAATGTTAAGCAATGCTGTGGTGCAGCTATAACCTTTCCTAAATCCTGATTGTCCATCTGGGAGAATATGGTACCTATTAAGATGTGAAGTAATTTGCTGTGCCACAATCTTTTCAAAAACTTTAGACAATACCGGCAGGATGCTAATGGGTCGTAGATCTTTAAATTCTTGTGGATTATTAATTTTAGGGTCGTAGATCTTTAAATTCTTGTGGATTATTAATTTTAGGTAGGGGAATAACGTTAGCACATTTCCAGATATCTGGACACACGCTATTTTTTAGACAGGAATTTATAATGTGGGTCATAAAAGGAGCAGCAAATGGACAGCACAATATCAGCATTCTAACACCAATACCATCACACCCCACAGCATTAGTTTTGATACTCATTAAGTATTTGAGCACCTCTGTTTCCTATTAAGATCAGAGCAATCGGTTTGAATAAAATAATTGAGAGATTATCAAGTTGTAATTTTCAAGTCAAATAAAATATTCTTCCTTCGTATTCAATTTTATAGAATCTCATTGGAATTTGGATCAAATATATTAGGTTATGGGCGAAAGCAACAATAATAATATTGGGATCCAGCAGTTTAACGGCTGCAATTTTGATGAGTGGCAATTCAGGGTCAAGGTTCATATGGACTCCCTGAATTTAGTGGACGTTTTAACGGGCGATCCACCCACTGAAGGAAAAGATAGGAGTGACTTCTTGAAAAGAGATAAGAAAGCGAAGGACCGTCTGGTCAGTCTCATAAATAATGAGTGCTTGTCATATGTACGTGACAGACTGCTAAAGAAATGTGGGAAAGTCTCCACTCGATGTTTGCAAAAAAGTCTGCTGTTAATCAATTGTTAGTAAGGAAGCAATTAGCGAGACTTAGAATGGGTGATGATGACAAAGTTACGTCTCATTTGGTCAATTTTGAAAACTTGATTCGAAAGCTGAAAAGTAGTGGTGCTGAAATGGAAGAAACCGATTTATTAGCTCAATTTTTCTTAACGTTACCTGAGAAATATGACCCATTAATAACAGCGTTGCAAAATTTGGATAAACTAACATTCAGTATAGTTAAGGAGAGACTACTGTTAGAGGAAACCCGTTTTGCTGAGCGCCATGAGGATGAACCGCAACAAAAAACAGCGTTTGCAGGAAAGAAGAAGTACTGGAAACGTTCTCAAAGGAATACTAAATTCCATGGAAAGTGTTACAAATGCAATAAAATTGGTCATAAAGCTATGGATTGCAGGGTAGGTGAAGCGAGGAGTGCTACTAGTGGTCATTATTCTAACAGTATTTGTTTCATGGCCGATTCAAATCGAGAATTTGTGGAGAAAGGAAACCGCACCATTGTAAACTCGGAATTTTACAGTCGTGTAATGACGTCATTTTCGTGGGAAAAAACGTATGTCCTATTAAATTTATTTGTTGCTAAGTAACTGACTACTGTTGTCTAATTACCTGTATGACTTTTACTATACAGTGGTGTACATAATATTTTAGCATTTTTTGATAATAATTAAGTCAATTTCCACAAGAAATCTATAGGTCTTAATAAAAGAAGAAGTCGTAATTAACTGACTGACTGACTGAGATATCAATGCACAGCCTAAACGACTGAAGATATCGAAAATAAATTTTTAACATGTTAAAAAATGCGAATAGTTCATATTTTTTGCGAGCGAAACCGCGATGGATAAAATGTTAGTATTTCAAAAAAAGGTCATTTACTCACTAATTATTTTAATAACTTGCTCAACTAACATATAAGTAATATTAACATATTTTTGTTTTTAAATAAATAAAGATTAACAAAACGAAAATCACAGAATATTATTTAGGAATCAATACTCCCGAAAAGACCCAAAAAATAATTAGCAGAGGAGTACATAAAAATTCAAAGAACCACTATCGAAACCACATCTACACAAGAAAAAATTGCACTACCTTGATGAATAGTTGGAAAATCAAAATCGTAAAACAAAAATATACCAATGCCAATTTATTGCGATTGTAATGGTCACAGTATTAGAAGAAAATTAGTCGCCCTCGTCCGTATCGTCAGAGTCAAAATCAAAGTATTCGTCGTCAGTAAGGTCGTTATCTGCGTCTGTAGTGATAACAAGAGGTGGGATGTCAGAAGCATCACAAACTTGTACTGCTCCCCAAGCCTCTTGTATTACTTTGTCCATATGGTTTACGTATTTCTCCCAATTATCCCTAGAAATCTCCCCGATAACCCTTTCCCATGTTGCCAAAACCTCTTGTGGTGATCCCTTAAAATTTGCAATGTACTGATCGTATTTTTGTTTACACTGAGACCACACCATTTCAATCGCATTAAATTGGCAGTGGTATGGCGGTAACCGTAAAATTTTATGTCCTAAAGGCTTAACATATTCATCAAGGTAGTACTTTTTCTCTTTGGGGCAGTTTGCGCTGACAATGCTCCATATTTGATCCTTCATTGCCTTTTCTGGATAGCCGATATTTTTTTTCCCTAACCATTCTATCATTCTTTGTTTTGTCCATGATTTGGTGGGAATTTTCTCTAAAAGGCCAGAATGGTAGCTTGCGTTGTCCATAATAATTAAAGATTTTTCAGGAAGATTTGGCACCAGTTGAGTCTTGAACCAATTTTCAAAATTACCCCTGTTCATATTATCATGATAGTCCCCTGTTTTTTTTCCACTTTTAAAAATCAAACTTGCCCCACCAATAAAGCCATCGTTCGTCCCAGCGTGGACAATAATGTATCGATGACCTAAAGAATATCTCTTTTAATAATATTGAAAAGGTATTATAATATCTTATTTTACCTTCATTGGGTTTAATTGATTCCGTGTGCTTAGTATCATCTTGCCAGCTGTTTCGAAATGATCCCTTACTAAATATCCAGGTTTCATCCATAAAAACCGGAGTATAACCCTCATGTCCCAAATTTTTGTTTTCAATGTACTCCCTTAAGAATTTTATTCGTTTGTGGACAATATCCGGTAAATCCATAAGATATTTTCTGTTATTGGACTTCTTCCATTTAAAACCCATACTTTTGATCCACTTTCTCAATGAATCAATGGAAAATTGAAAATATTCGTTTTGCTCCAGAAATTTTTGTCTAATAGTTGCCAGTGTAACATATTCCTTTTGGGAGTACATATAATAGATTGTATCCCGAATTTTATTCTTCAAATATTCTGTGATTTTCGTCTTGTTAATCTTTTGCTTGGTAGAGACATTAGATGCGTAATCTTTGTCGGATTTTACACCATTTTTTCTCAAATTTGAAATGGTTGTTGGGCTGACTTTCGTTGCTTGTGCAGTTCGCTGTATAACATTGTTGATGTCTAGTGGTATGCCATTCCGAACTTGTTCCTGTTCAATTTGAAAGAAAGCCAACACATTTAGAATTATTAACTGTGTTTGTTCGTTAAATCGATGAGGGTTTTTTGGCGGCATGTTTTGACGCTTTGGCGTTTTCAAAACTTCAAAACTGACAATCACTTGACAAGCATTTCAGGTAAAATTTAGCCACGACAACAACATTTCGGCAAAATTTTTTGTCATTGTCATTTTACATTAGTTAAACAAGGATAGACAAAAATGACGTCATTACAAGACTGTAAAATTCCGAGTATATTTAAGTTAGATTCAGGAGCGAGTGATCACTTGGCAAATGAGAAGTGGTACTTTGCCAATATGAAACAGCTGAGGAAACCAATCACAATATGTATTGCAAAGGAAAATGAATCACTGATCTCCACGCACTCCGGAGAAGTAAATGGAATGAGCAATAAGGGCATTGAAGTTTGTATGCGGGATGTACTGTACGTTCCAGATCTACGTGATAATTTGCTGTCGGTTAGAAAATTGACTAAAGCAGGTTTAAATGTGGTATTTGAGAAGAGTGAGGCAATAATTTTGAAAAATGGACAAGTTGTTGCGACTGCGTGCTTAAATGGCGAACTCTATGAATTGGAAATTGATTTAGTGAGCAGTAGCGCCTTTGTTAGTACTAATAGTAAATTTGATTTGTGGCATAAACGTTTGGGTCATATTGGTAAAGATAACATGTTGAAATTAGTTAAAGAAGGTTCATTGGAAAATATGCAAGAAAAAGAGTCTGGACTATGTAAAATTTGTATCAAAGGTAAACTGACACGTAGTCCATTCAATCATACAAGAGAAAGAGCTAAACAGCCATTGGAGTTAATTCATTCAGATGTGTGTGGACCGATTAACCCAGTTGCTTGGAATGGTTCAAGATATTTTGTTTCCTTCATAGATGATTTTACACATTTTGCAAATATTTACTTGATTAAAAAGAAATCAGAAGTATTTGATGCTATGAAAGAATATGAAGCAATGGCTACAGCTAAATTTATACTGCCTATTTCAAAATTAAGAACAGATCAAGGTGGAGAGTACTTGTCTAAGGAACAGGATAAATGGTATAAAATGAAAGGAATTCAAATACACACAACGGTTGCATATTCGCCTCAGCAGAATGGAGTGGCAGAACAGTTTAATAGAACTCTCACTGAAAAAATTAGAATGATGTTGATGGAATCCCAAATGTCGAAAAGACTGTGGTGTGAAGCTGCTTTAACTGGAGTATATTTGATCAACCGAAGTCCTACTGCTGCACTGAATGACAACAAGACACCGGCTGAAAAATGGTATGACCATTCACCAGATTTAAATAAGCTGAGGGTGTTTGGGTGCAAAGCATTTGCTTGGATTCCTGATCAGCTGAGAAGAAAACTGTCTTCAAAATGCAGGGAATCAGTTATGATTGGCTATGCTCCTAATGGGTATAGATTGTGGGATATAGAAAAACAGCGAGTTTTTACTGCACGTGATGTCAAGTTTGATGAAGAAAGTTTTCCGTTTGAGAAAAGTCGTGAAAATGCTCATACCTATACAAAAACCAAGGAAAACATATTTCAAAGATCTCGAGCAAGAGGGGGAAAATGGTTTTGTCGAGAATGTTGATGTAATTGAAGATGTCTCGGAAAATTCAATTATTGAAAATCAACAAGAAACAACCGAAGAAGAAAATGAGTCTAATGCTGAGGCGCTCCCTTCCCCAAATAATCAATGTGACGAAATGCACTTGAGGCGGAGCGATAGGGAGCGCAAGAGACCGAGTAAGTTGAAAAATTTCTTTACTACTTATAGAGCAAGTACTGCTGGTAATGTTCTTCCAGATGTTCCGGAATGTTATGGAGATATTTTTGGAAGAGAAGATAAAGATTTGTGGATCAAAGCAGTTGAAGATGAACTCACATCAAAGGAGAAGAACAAAGTATGGAAGATTGTCGAAAAGCCCGGTTTAAAAAAAATTATGGAGTCAAGATGGATTTTTTCTATAAAATATGATGAAAATGGTGTTGCAAAGAAGCATAAGGGAAGACTAGTTATAAAAGGATATTTACAGAACCATGTCTTCGACTATTTTGAAACTTATGCACCAGTTGCGAAACTCACTACAATTCGAGTTTTGTTAGCTGTTGGTATTCGTCTTGGATATTTTTTTCAACAGCTGGATGTGAAAACAGCCTTTTTGCATGGAGATCTAAAAGAAGAGATCTACATGACCATACCTGATGGTGTTACAAATGAAGAAAACAAAGTGTGCAAGTTAATCAAATCACTCTACGGTTTAAAACAAGCTCCTAGATGTTGGAATGAAAAGTTGAATAGTTATCTTTTGCAAATTGGATTTGTAAGGTCAAAACATGATTATTGTCTTTATACACGCAATGAAAATGGTCAACATATTTTTTTGGTCCTCTACGTAGATGATTTGCTTTTGGTTGGAAAAACACTTTCAGATATGGAAAATGTGAAGAAGTTATTGTCTGAACAATTTTCAATGTCAGATTGCGGAGAGTTGAAAAAATTCCTGGGTATGAAGATTGAGATTGGTTCAGATTACATAAACTTATCTCAGCCCCACCATATTGAAAAGATTTTGAAGAACTTTGGTTTACAGGATTGCAACGCAGTGAAGACTCCTATGGAGAAAGGATTAAAGTTGCCTTGTACAAATTCTGACGACAATAACAACAGGAAATCATATCAAGAGTTGCTGGGTAGTTTGATGTATTTGATGTTATGTGTTCGTCCTGATATTTGTTTCCCTATCAGTTATCTTGGTAGATTTCAACAGCACCCTATAGAAGAGCGTTGCCAATCATTGAAGAGAGTTGTTCGTTATTTAAAAGGAACCAAGAAAATGGCACTAAGATTTTCTGTTAATAGTAACATTCCACTTGTGGGTTATGCGGATGCTGACTAGGCTGGAGATACTGCAGATCGAAAATCGACAAGTGGTTTCGTCTTTAAAGTTTTTGGATGCACTGTTTCCTGGTCTAGTCAAAAACAATCTACAGTAGCAATATCTTCTAGTGAAGCAGAATATGTAGCATTAAGTGCTGATGTAACTCAGTTTGAGAAGTTAATTTGCAAGATTGGATTAGTCGATTGAGAGGGGGTATTAAGATCAGAGCAATCGGTTTGAATAAAATAATTGAGATATTGTCAAGTTGTAATTTTCAAGTCAAATAAAATATTCTTCCTTCGTATTCAATTTATAGAATCTCATTGGAATTTGGATCAAATATAATATTTCCGACACACTTGAAAATTTTAGTTTGGATGTAATGTTGCACTTAAGAACCCCATTATAAAAATTTGTGAGCCCGACATCATCATTTGCACTGTATGTGCTAAGGAAATTTGAATTTATTTGATTAACGTCTTGTAGATGAGAAGGTAAATGCTTTGTTTTAGCTCTGCTGTAAATGTCTAATTTTTTTAGTTCTTTCTATAAATTTCTAGAGGAAGTATTACGAAGCTTGTATTCCAGATACGCTTTTTTATCTTGCTTAATTGCAAAAGATGTATAGCTACGTAACGTTTTGTAATATTCCCAGTGGGCTGCTTTGTGTGTACGTTTAAATTTCCTATATGCTTTGTCTCTTAGTCCCATCATAAATTTGACGTTATTTGTAAGCCAAAGGGCATATGGTTTAGAAATTTTTATAGTTTTTATAAAGGTATGCCTATTAAACAGGGAGAGAATGGACTCGTTAAGAAACTCAATTTTATCGTTAATATCATGCATTTCGTAAATCATGTGTCAGTTAATAGATTCTAGATCATTTTGGAAATCATTGAGATCAAAATATTCAAAACTGCGGTAAGTATAGAAAGTATTGTATTTATTTAAATTGTCATGTAAGCGATAATCGCAGTATATCAATGAGTGATCGGAAACATGATGCATATCGACAACGCCACAATGCACTAATTTTGAGCTATCAGATTGATTATTATGTACTAAAATTAAGTCTATTAGCGAAGCTGAATCTCGAGTAATTCTTGTGGGTTCTGATATAATTTGCGTCAAACCAAGGGCATCAATCATCACATTAAATTGTACACACTGCACATCATTAAATTTTAGGAGGTCTATGTTGAAATCTCCTAGGCAGAGGAGTTCATCGGTACTGGGCAAAAGAGCAGTGAGAGAATCCTCCAACACTGATAAAAATTCAGCGCAGCTAAATTCCTGTCTCCTATATATGTAGGTACATATAGCTCCAATTGATAGTGTTAACCCATTTATTTTAATTTTGACCCAAATTTGTTCTATAGCTGCACATGTGGCTGCAACATTTATAACCGAAAAAGTAATATCATTTCTGATGTACATACCAACTCCTCCACCTCTTGTGCTAGTGACTCTATCTTTTCTAATAAATTTATATCCCTGTATTTGTACTGCATAATCCAAAATATTAGGCGACAACCACGATTCGCTTACCGCCACCACATCATAATTTGCAGTCAGTACGTGGTCTTTAAAATCAGAAAAATTATTTAACAATGACTGTACATTTAAGTGTGATATCTTTAGAATACTAGACATTTAACTGAAAGAAAAAATAATATACAAAAGTAAAATAACTGTAGATACACATACATAATCTTTAACCTCATAAAATGTGAGAAAATATGGTAATATAAAATCATCAAAAATATGTTGTTAACATGGTTTTGGTACTTAAGTAAATAAAATCTAATTAAAATTAAAAAGAAAAAAGTTATATACATCTTAGTGAACATCATTAAAGTCTATTTCAGATTTAATGACAAATATCTTGCTGTTGTCCACTTTACGCATAGCAATTTGTCCGTTACGTACCCAAACATACTTAATATTGTTCCGTTTTGCATATTCTCTTGCTTTAGCAAACAACACGCGATTCGTGAAAGTTAAGGACTCATTAATAAATATGCTACTATTAGGGTTAACTGGTGGAAGTCTAGAATACATTTCGCCCAGATCGCTCACTTGTATGTTGCGTTTTACTTTCTTGCGGGCTAAAAGTTCATCTTTATCCAATCTGCTGACAAATTTGACAATGATAGCTCTCGGTTCATTCGGTTTATTAGGATTCTTGGATAACCTATGACACGCGTCTATCATACTTTTATTTACAGATAACCCAACCGCCTGGCCCACAGCAGTAACGACGTTAACAATATTTTCATTCTGGATTTCCGGTACACCTTTAATTTCGACACAGTTTTTGCGCGAGTACTGCTCAACTTCGTTTAACCTCACTCATAAATCGTTGTTTTCTTTAACCAGGTTTTTATTTACATTTTCCAGTGCTTCAATTTTGCTCAAACATTATTCGATCCTTGCATCTTGTGCTTTGAACAGCTCAACATTATAGTCTATTTTTTCATGACATGAATCCAATGATTTGGCAAACGAATCCTGATTATTCTTTAAGGAGATCATAAGATTATATAGTTGGTCCAATGTAACAGGATGAATTGGGGTGTCTAACTCAGGATCAGATGGAAGCATGGACTTTTTGGTTACACATCCAGTAGCGCAGGCGTTGCATTTCCATGTTTTGTCGCTATTACTTGAAACAAGTTTCCGAAATTCCTCAATTTCAATATCGACGCACGCAATATGAAAGAACTCCCGACAAGTGCTGCACATAATGGAGTCTTCATATCGGCCAACTTTCTTAACACAACTAACACACACAATACCGCGATTTGTTAGTGACATTTCTTAATTATATGATAATGAAGTAAGTTATAAACACAAATTACTTTTATAAATACACCTATAATAATTGTTAAGAGCGATAAGTAACACGTCCGCACCATTCCAAGTCTAAATCTACTCTGATTAACATTAACATTAATGATTAACATTAACATTAACTAATTAATTAATAAAAATGCTTAAATTGATTCTTATTTGACGTATTTCCGGTATTTGTCGATGGCGCGAAAGATTGTTTGGAAAAGGACCATACACTTTTAGGTAAGCCTTGGAAAATTAAACAAATGAAACACGATGTATTATAAAATAATAACAGCTGTAATTT